TAGGTATATGGGTTGGTATCTGGGTCGTCAATTCAGTTCCATTGGTCCTCCTGTCTGGTTTTTTTTCCAAATACTAGGCTGTTTTCAGTACTGTAGCTCTGTAGTTTGAAGTCAGGGATTGCGATACCTCCAGAAGTTCCTTTATTGTACAAGATTGTTTTGGCTGTTTTTTTTTTAAAGACAGAAAGATTCAATTATTAGTTGTCTAGCTTCTGAATTTGGTTCATTATATTTGTTGTTGACATCAATATTTGCAAAAAAAATCAGTTAAGGCTTCTTTTCAGACCTGTATGACTTTATTAAATTGTAAACAGAGACTGTTGGTTGGTTTCCTGGCCACCTAGACCTGAATAATTACACAGAAACCATATTAATTACAATACTATCTGACTTGTTAGTTCAGGCTTCTTATTAACTAATTCTTATGTCTCAAATTAACCCATTTCTATTAATCTGTGTACTGCCATGAGGCTGTGGCTTACCAGTAAAGGTTCTGAGTGTCTTTCTCCTTTGGCAGCTACATGGCATCTCTTTGACTCGGCCTACTCTCTTTATATATCTTTGTTTGGTTTTTTACCATGGTTCTAATCTGCCCTGCCATAGTCTAAAGCAGGTTCTTTATTAACCAATGGTAATCAAACATATTCACAGCATACAGAGGGAAATCACACATCAGTAAATGACTCAATCTTCTTTCCTACTTCTTCAATTCTGTCCCAAGCATTCAAAACTGCTGAATGGCATAAAGCCATATGTTGCTATGATACAGGGATACCCTTTCTATATTAGCATAATCTCCTCCAAGAAGTTGATCTTGAAATATTTTCATACCACTAGCTCTACTCATGTGTTCAGTGGTCTCAGCCTCTTTTTTCAACCAGGTCTTCCATTGTAATTGTGGATCAGGCTCCAAGACTGTCATAGCCAAATCTCTCCAGTCTTTAGGAATAATTCTATTACAAATTGACCATGAGTTTAACATCTGCTTCACAAAAGGTGACTGCATCCCATATGAAGCTATCACTTCTTTCAAACTCTTTAAATTTAACATTACTACAGAAGTCCATTCAGTTCTTACAGAGCCTTGGGTTTATCTATCATTTGGCAATTTCTGTAAGGTTACTGGATCTATTAAGGTTGGTTGTTTGACAATCTTCATCTCTAACCCTATGATGCAATGATGAAATTGGTTCTCTATTAAGTTCCTCTGTCTGAATTTGAATATCTCTATGATCTGTTTGATTAAGTTTTTCTAAGGCCTGTATCTTAACATTCATACCAAGCAACTTTTTAAGAGATAAACTAAAAACTATCAAAAGGACAAGAATTATCAAAATAATAATTAACAATATATCAATCCCATTTGATTATTCTTTCATTTAATTGTTCCACATTTTAATCATGTATCATGTAATCAAACAAAGAACTAACTTTTCTATATAGTAATTGTGACTCCCATTTTCTAATGTGGGAAAAACTCTCATTTAACTAATTCATTGCTTTAGAATTCCCAATTTTCTCACCAAATCTGCCACCAATAACAATGAAGATGTGAGACTTATTGCTGCTGCACAGAACAATAAAGGCCTGATGGGATTTCAAGGCAGTTACCTAGTTTGGTAGCAACCCAAGAACAGGGTCCAAGGAAAGCCCACCAGGAGGGAAAAATGGAAAACCTAGCCAGTAGGGCAGTGACTCTGGCCATGAGTAACTCATGCCTATGCCAGTGGCTGCAAAGCCACAGGCAAATGGCTTTTTTAAATGAATTCATGCCCCAAAAGTTGGGCACCAGATGTTGCACAAATTCTAATTGTTCTTAATAAAAACCCACAATCGGCTATTAAGGGATGAGATATCAGAGAAAAAGAGTGACCAGCCATTAGAAAGACCTTTTGCCTCTACCAACGCTTGGACCAAAGGGGTAATCCTGTCTTCAGACTGCCTCCTCGGACAGTATCCTCTGACTGCATCCTTAGACTGCATCTTAAGACTGCACTGAGCTCTGTCTCCTCCCACCTTATATTCCTCTCTCTTCCCAGCCATATCTCTTCCTGTCTCTATCTCTTCAGTGCTGGGATTAAAGGTATGTGACTCCCTTGTATTGGGATTAAAGGTGTGAGTCAACACCCCTGGCTCTGTTTCTTTTTGATACTGGATCAATCTGGTGTAGCCCAGGGTGACCCTGAACTCAGAGATCCATCTGCTTCTGTCTCCTGAGTCCTGGGATTAAAGGTGTGTGTCACTGCTGCCTGGCTTCTAGTGGCTTAGTTCTGCATTGTTGTCTTCAGACAAGTTTTATTTACTAAAACACAAACAAAATATCACTACAGACACTTCTTTATTTTACTACATGTTCTCAGTTCTTTGAGAATTCCACACAATGTGTTTGATCACATTCACCTTCTTCCAACTCTTCACAGATCCACCCCTACCTCTCTTCCCACCTAACTTTGTGTTCATTTATTTTTTTTTCTCAACAAATCCAATATTCTTCAATATATGGCTTTAAGTGTTACATCCCTGAAGGAAAAAGACTTCCTGGTAGATGGAAACCAAGGAATACCTCTAAGTGTTACAGCTCTGAAGGGAACGATATCCTGGCAGTCACAAGTCAAGGAATGCCTACAGCTTGGAAGGAAAAGCTATTCTGGAAGAAGTGTTACAGCTCTGTTCCCATGAGGGATAGTTTCCTCAGAAAAGTGTCAACAGTCCTTGCTCTGGGAGAGGTTTCCCTAATCCAAGTGTAACAACTCTGCTCCAGCACGGGAGAGTTTCCACAGTGGGGTTGTTACCTCTCTGTTCTGCTCTGTTGTGCTTCAGAGAAGTCTTACAGCTGTGCTCAACTCCCTGGGAAAGTTTCCCCCATGAAAAGTGTTACACCTCTGCTCTGCTCTGACTTCGCCCCACTTCCCTCGGTAGAGAGCTGTTAGACCTCTGCTCTGCTCCAGTGAAAGTTGGTCCAGCTCTGCTCTACTAAGGGAGTTTTCCAGTGGAAATGTAGCAGTTCTGCTCCACTCTGGGGAGAGCTGTTACATCTCTGCTCTTCTCTGGCAAAAGAAAGTCGGTACAGCAAACTTCACTCAAGAGATTTATTGGGAGGAAGGAATCCAGGAGAGTGGCTACCTCTGTCCGAGTGGAAAATAGATTAATAAAAAAAAATTGGAAAAAGAAAATCCCTATTCTATAAGTGTAGGCTTGTTAGATGCTTACGGAACACTGGGTCCATTCCCATCCCAACCTGGTTCTCAGAAGATTTAAGTCAAGATCAGCAGTGGATGTCTCAAACTGCATGGCTCAGACTCACATACCTTAGATTTTACCTACATATACATAAAATAATTATAATATACTGTGATTAGCCTGTCTGCCTCACTTATGGTACAATGTCACCATACTTCAGAAAATGGAAACTTTAAGCTGACAAATACTTGTTTTTACAATTATCTGTAAACAATTCAAACCATATCGGACTGTGAGTAATAAAATCACAGAAAGCAAGACTCCAGATAAAGGGTGGGGGCTATCATATGGAATTAAAACAAAACAAAACAAACAAACCAAATTAATTTGTGCTTATGTTTACAGCAAAGTCATGCTTAGGGCCCATATAAAGCCTGGCCACTGGTGGTTTTATCTTCTCAGAACTTCTTAGGGACATGATAATTTATGTCCACAATGGTTGTAGCTTCAAGTATACTAGTAGTTTATGAACATCCATCATGACGTTAGTATCTCCATCTTTCTTATCATCTCTGCAGTATTCCTCTTCTGCTTCCTTCTGCCATTTTATCGGTGGTCTTCTTTTAGACTAATGCAATGCATGAGGTTTGGTTTTCTGTATTTGTTTCCATTTTTAACTTATGGGGGGATTTCCTTTTTATTAAAAATATTTTTATTGAAAATAAAATTTTACTTTCCTACAGTATTTTCTGATCACTGTTTCCTCTCCAGATCTTCCCCACCTCCCTACCCACCCAACTCCATGTCTTCTTTCTCTCTTTAGGAAACAAACAGGTCAATAAAAAAAGAATAAAATAAAGAAAACAAAAAAACAGAGAAAATAAAAGAAAATCACAGGAAACACATACACATGCATAGACACACACACACACACACCCCATAAAAACACAAAATCAGAAACCAAAATGGATAAGCAAAAGACAAGAAGGTTTAAAAATGTGCCTGAGACTCCACTGGAAGAAACCAGTATTTCTTTTGTGAGCAGTTTTTGAGATTTACTTCTGAAGAGTGGTTTTCAACTAGCTGGCAATTATCTTCATTTCCAAAAGCTCTATGAAGCATTTTGCCCTCAAAAATGTTTGTTCTCTGGGCAGTGGTGGTGCACACCTTTAATCCTAGCACTCAGGAGGCAGAGGCAGTTGGATCTCTGTGAGTCTGAGGCCAGCCTGGTCTACAAGAACTAGTTGCAGGACAGGCTCCAAAGCTACAAAGAAACCCTGTCTTGAAAAAAAAAAAGTTTGTTCAAAGTCAGAAGCTGGAAAGGCAACCCCAATAGGAACAGCAACGGAGTCTCCATCGGCTCTTTCAGCTTACAGAGACCCTGAGAAAGGACTGCTGGCAAACTCTCCCAAGGAGGACATTTCAAACCTTGAACTTAGCTTGGGGAGGGAACTGGAAAACCCCTGACTGTGTCACTGAAGCATTCTTAGCCCCATGAGTCACTTGCCCTTCTGGAACAACAAACTCTCGATCCCTTTGGAGCTGACTTTTGTGCAGGGTCAGAGACCTATGGGTCTCTTTCCATTCTTCTATATGAAGCCTCCAGTGTGGCCATCGCCATTTACTGAAGACACTGTCTTTTTCCATTGTAGATTTTTGCTTGTTTGTTTGCTTGCTTCTTTGTCAAAACTCGGGTGTCCGTACTTGTGTGGAGTTAGTCTAGGTCTTCAATTCTATTATAGATTGAGATGTCTGTTTTCATGCCAATACCATGCTACTTTTATTACTATAGCTCTGTAATACAAATGGAAATTTGCAACGGTGATGCCCCAAGCAGTTTTATTTTTTTTTGAAATTCAGGATTTTATTAGTTACCCTGGGTTGTCTTGTATTTCTATATGAAGAATTTTGCTGGAATTTTGATGGGGATTGAACTGAATCAGTAGACTGCCTTTAGTAGGATGGCCTTTTTCACAATATTAATCCTATTGATCTGTGAGCGTGGGAGATCTTTCCATCTTCTGGTATCTTCTTCAATTTCTTTCTTCAATGTCTAGAAAGATTGCACAAAGAAAAATTTGAAATTATCTCAAGTCCTTCTGTACTGTTGTCATTAGAAATAATTCTCTTTTATAAACTTTTCCCCTCCTTTCTTCTGCAACAGCCAGAGGATCAAATTATTAACATCCATGCCTCATTCAGCAGATAGAAAGACAGATTTAATGCAACCAATGTGCTTGCTTCACCCCACATAGAAATGCAGGGAATTAGTTCCAATGGGACCACAGTTCTTTGTTTCTTGAGAAACTTTTATTTTGTGTTTTTTTTCCCAAACCTCAAAATTCAGAAAGGGGAAGCAGAACAGTTTTTCATTTGCCAACTGCTTGTAATTACCACAGCTTCACATCTTGAGTAATCATGAATACCTTCCAGGGAAATCACAGACTGCCTGAGTGTCGAAAGCAGACAGTGAAACTTCTGGAGGAAACAGCTGGTGGAAGGTAGTTCCCTGAACCTGAGTGAGCAGGCATAGGAACACAGACAGGGCTGTGCGGATAGGTAAGCGCTTTCGGTTGGCTTAGAACTCCTGGGGGAGATTGTGCTTGAGAGAGACAGGGAACTAGATTTGCATCCTGTCCTTTCTGTTAATCACCTGCATGAACTGGTAACTCTGATGCTCTTTTGGGGCCTCTGTTTACTTACTTGTGAAAAAGCAAACTACCCTTAGATTTCACTTGAGATGTGAAGGGATGTCCTTCCACAGTTTCCCACTGTTATCATCCGTGCTTACAAAACTTGTTCTCAGTGAAGATTGGGATAAAGCAAATGTTCAATTTAGAAACTATAATTATAATCTAATATTGTAACACAGAAAAGTATTGTGCAGAGCTGCTTGCCTGAATAGTAGGATTAGTTTTGAGCCTTTTTCAAAAGCTCTGGTCTACTTCCACTTCACCTCGTTATAATGAAGGCTGGAGGACAAAGCATCCTCTCCGTTATTGGATTTGGAACAAATGATGTCAGTCAGCAGACATAAAAAACTCAAAAGTAAAAACCCTTGCATTATGTAGAGTTGTTCCTAAAATAACTTTACATATCCAAATTTAAATGCAATAACTTAAATTCTTTAAAACACACACACACACACACACATACACACCTCTACATGCTATCATAAGAATATGATTTAGTAGATAAAATAAACATAAATCGTACAATATTTCAAAGTACACAGATGTTTCTTACAGCATTGATCATGGCAGTAAAAAAAAAAGAAACAACCAAAATGTTCAAGAACATGTGCTGAGTTTAATGAATCTAGATATTCATTCATTTGGGATTTTCAGAGTTAAACTGTGCTTACATAATCGTAGCATTCTTACCACAGACGTGTGCAGTTCAGGGGCATCAAAGCCATTCGTGTTGTGACACACTCACCACCATCCAACTTCAGAACTTGGTCATCTTTACAAAGTGGAACCAAAGCCACTAAACAGCTGCTCCTTAGCCCTCCCGAGCCCTTGGCAGCTGCCACTCCACTCTCCACAAAGCTGAGCAGTCAGGGAACCTTGTAAGTTGAACCGCACAGCATCCGACATTCTCTACCTGACTGACTTCACTGGTTTTGTTTTTGAGGTTCATCTATGTCGTGGCATATGTCAGAATCTCGCATTTGGCTTTTATACTTAAGGCTCTTAAACTAATTAGTCAAAATGTCTACTGACAAATAAGTAGAAAGAAGCTCTGAATGCACGGAACGACCGTTTGTACAGTGTTATAATTTGGGTAAAATCACACATAACGAGGAGGGAGAAGTGAGGAAGGAAGAGCATAAACTGTGAACGGGGGATTTCAGATTCACTCGCGAGGAGTCAGGAACATCCAGATTCGTACACACGGGTTTTTTTTTTTTAATTTACTTACTTACTTATTTGTTTATCTGTTTGTTTGTTTTGAGACAAAGTTTCTCTGTAGGTTTGGAGCCTCTCCTGGAACTCGCTCTTGTAGACCAGGCTGACCTCCAACTTAGAGAGATCCACCTGCCTCTGCCTCCAGAGTTCTGGGATTAAAGGCATGTGTCGTCACCACCTGGTGCAAACTTTATTTTCATGTTCATAAGAAAAACAAATCGATCAATTTTAAAATAACAGAAAATAAAGGCACAACATTGACAGGCTAGAGAGAATCAACCAGGCTTATAGTTCCTAACACAGCACTTAGAATGGATAAGATAGAGTTCTTGAATATGAAACCTGGAAAACCCAGGAAAGAAATCAGAACCAGGGAGATTGGTTATTAAGGTTGACTGGAAGGGATTGCGTTGATGTATTTAACAACAAGAGTCAAGTCAAAATCCAGGTTTCCCAATATGGGAGCAGTTCTGGAAAGAAACACTTTTAACACACGTCCCCAAGGATCACAGCCATGCCTAGGGGCGGACTGTGAACTCGTGAGTGACAGCGGTGCTCCAGGTACAAACAGCATTGACGTCCACAGCAGTGCCGTCCCTGTCTCCCCCAGCAGAAACAAGATTCTGGGGTTCATTTTGGTACTGTTGATCTGGTGGAGCACTGTTTTCTTCTGGAGTGGAACTGTTGATATTGGGAATGAAGAAGATGCAAGGTGAAAATATCACATAGAGGAAATTATTGTCACACAGAGGAAAATATTTATAGCTCCTGAGCCCAGTAGATACAGCCCAGGTACACACAAGTTAGGCAAACAACAAACTAAGGATAATTATATTTGCTACAGTGTATTATTAAACACATGCGATGCAGCAGGTAAGTGCTTTTTGTGACCTTCAACTTATTAGTTCTGAGTTACTAATATATGAAATGTAGTTAACATCTAGAATGTGAGACCCTTAGAAGGATTAAGACCTTTGGTGTTCAAGTGCCTGGAATTTAACGTGAGTTTTTTAAAAAGTGGTGCACATTCTGGATTAGGTGTGTTCTTTTTGTAGACAGAAAAGTACTCCCCGATAATTTAATGGAGAGAAAATGGATAGTGGGGGGTTAGACAGCATAAACAGCTTCAGAGTGAGGGTCAATGTGGTAGGGGGCACTACTGGGGAAGCAGGGGCACACAAGGTAGAGAAAGGGAGCTGAAAGCAAAGGCTTTGTGGGATGGGCGTGAGGCGAGTCCACTCAGGACTACAGAGTAAATTATGCTTGGATTACTAACCTTCAAATTGTGGGGTGCCTGGAGATGTTTGCAATTTTCCCCAATAGCATGTTTCTTTTTTATCATGAATGAAGTGCAGCAAGCAAGCTAACTCTCCTAAGCTCCCCCTGAAACTCGGTTCCAGTTTTGTTTGTAGAAAACAAGCCAGGCTCTGGTCATCACACCCTGGATGTACCCACTTCTCATAGAAAGAGAAACCATCCTTCATTCCCTACAGTCTCTGGTGCCTGTGAGTGTCTGTCAGTCAAGCCCTAGGAACTGATGAGTTCAGTGCCTCTTCTAGCATCGTCAGCATCACGCTTCTGCAGCTTGGCATCAAGAGCGTTTGGGGACCTGCCTTCCAATGGACATCGTTATTCACAAAAGAAAGGAAGCTGGACACATGGACCAGAAAGATGACCTGCTGGTTGCTGTGCCTAAGGAAGCCACAGTTCTTGGGGTAAGTTTATCTTGTTAGAAGGAGAACACAAAGACTGTGTCCAGACTATGGAGCTATAGTGGGTCTGAGCTAACCAGACTGTGAAATTCAACTGTTTTAGAAATTGTACTCTCCTAGGGTTTCCACTTAATTAAATAATTAAAAATTAAAACTACTTGTGCCTTTTCCACCAGAACACTGCATAATTAAGAAATTAATTTCTTCTCGTTTGCCTTTCGTGCAGCTAAGTTCCGCCCTGCTATAGGTCCAAAGCAGTTTCTTTATTCATTAACGGTAATCACAGCATACAGAGGGAAATCCCACATCAAGAGAGCATGGCATTTGTCTTCTCCCTCTAATTGTTTTATCTTCCATCTCTTTGACCACTTCCCCTCCCCTAGTAGTGCCTCTTCTATTCTCATGCTTATGTATATATGTATATATTTAAATGTATATTTTTCATAGTAGAGAAAACACAGTATTTGTTTTCTGAGCTTGTCTTATTTTATTTAGTATGATGATCCTTCATTCCACCCATTTCACAATAAAGGACATTATTTTACTCTCCTTCATGGATGAATAAAATTGCATTGTGTATAAAGACCACGCTGTGTTTTTCTGCTGAAGGACATCTAACTCGGCCCATGCCTTGGCTATTGTGTAACAGTGAGCTTGGATGTGCAGGCCTCTCTGTGGTATGTTGACTTTGACTCCCCTGGAGATAGACCCAGGAGGCATGGTCTGGATCATATGCTGCTTTTAATTTAGTTTCAGCTGTTTGAGGAAGCACCATGTTGATCTCCCCGGGGGCCACACTGGTTTACATTCCCAGCAGCGTTTGGCTGTTCCTCTTTCCTCACGTCCTCATCAGACGTTAGATCATTTGCTTTCTTGATGATAGCCGGTCTGACTGGATTGAGAGGGAATCTGACAGCAGCTTTTATTTACATCCCTCTAATCAGTCATTAGGATGCTGTGTTTCCTCTAAATATTTGTAGTCTGCCTTTATTCCTTCTTTTGAGAATTATGTATTTGGTTCACAAGCCTATTAATTGGTTGCCTTGTTTTTCTTAGTGGTTAACTTGGGGGCTTTACATAGGATATATGTCATCAGTGGCTTCCTTCCATTTTCAGACTCTCCCTTCACTCTCATGCTTGCTTCCACTGCTAGGCAGAGTTTTGTCATTCCGTGCGATCTTTTCAATTATTCCCATTGTTACTGAATTATTGGGCTTCTTCTCATAAAACCCTTTCATCTTGAAGTGTGTTCCTGATGTTTGACTCTAACAGCTTCTGGGCTTCAGTTCTTACCCTGACATACTTGCTCTATTCTGAATTATTTTTGTGCAAGTGAGAGATGGGGATGTAGCTTCATTCTCTGACATGTGGGTTTCCAGTTTCCCCAGTGACATTTGTTGAAGACAACACCTTTGACAAATATTAGGTGGTTATAACCATGCGTGTTCTCTCTCTCGGATCTTCTGTTACATTCCAGTGTCTCCCATCTATTTAATCACAAATCTCTATCCCTGATGGGCCCCATCCTTGATAACATGCTCCACCCCACTTGCCATGAAACTTGTCTTTACAAGGCGCATGTAAGATGTAAGGGTCTGCCAGAGTGGCTGTCATTTACTTCATGCCTGCCTCTTGGTACATGGGTAGTCAATGATGAATTGTGGTAATAGATGACATCTCTTTCTTTTAGGTTACATTATCTGGGTGTGAATTACAATACATATGCATCAGTGAATAGAAGGACAGATTCTCATTCAAACTGGAAAGGCCAAACAAGGTTCCTGGTCTTTTGACATTTGTGCAAGTTTGTACAACTTAACTCCCTCATGTTCCTCGTCAGTAACACAGATGTCACGAATACTGCTGAGAATGCGGGCACCTTAAACATGCAAACTAGCCTGACACCTGGTGCTGTGACAATCACATGATTTTTAAATTCAAATGACAGATAAAAAAGGACAAGTGACAGCACCAGAAATATTATTCTCAACAGTTCAGTTGAAGCTGAGGCCTACATTGACACTTCTCTGCATTCACCTGGCTGGACTCTAGTCCATACAACTTCTCCCAGTGACTTTACAAAAAAATGAAATGGTTTTTGCAGTAAATTTTTAAGTAATATGACTTTTGCACAATCACTTCCTGAGTTCAATAAGCCTTCCAAAAATTAAAACAAGTAAATTTTGGATTTTTCTCTTAGAGCAGACTTATTTGTTCCTTGAGTATTCCCCCTTTTAATACAGAAAATCATAACATATTTTACACTCCTGATAAGTCAGTTTGTATTCAAATAATCCTTTGCATCTACTTAAAGAATGTTCTAGAAACCCCTGTCTTGTCTGCTGCAGACCATCCAGATACTGTGTGCCCTGACGATTGCAAGCTTTGGGGGCATTTTTGTGTCAGCTTCCTACTCTTCCTACATCAACCCAGCAGCCTTCACCACTTCGTTGTTCGGGTACCCATTTGTTGGATCCCTGTGTGTGAGTAAAGTATGATCTCCAAAGGTGTTTATACTTCTTAACTATACACCAGGCACTAGTGATAAACTAGCTTCCTCTTCGAGAGGAACGGAGGCAGGAGGAGGCCATCTTAACACTCCTGTCATTATCTCATGCCCTGTCTCTCCCATTCAAAAGTCAGCACTTCCTGAGTGGTCTCGTTAGAACAGGAGGCAGGGGGAGAAGACAACGCACTGGGTGTATCAGCACATTTCTTACCAGACACCACATCCTCTTAGACAAGGGGGATATTATTGACATCCCTTTTTGAGGTTTTGAAGCGGCTGTTGGTTTCTAGCCAGTAGAAAAGTAATCAACTTCTCAGGTAGAGTGAGAAATACTGACCTGGAACCTCTATCAGACACCACAGTTGGCAGACATTTATCTCAGTAATGACAGAATTGTTCATGGGAAACAGAGGCATTCTTATGCTTGCAGTAACCCTGAACATCTGCAGACTTCTTGGGCTTCTTGTCAGATAATGGCTCACGGGCAAGGATCCTACTGGATCTTATTTCAGGGTAGCTAAACCCGATGTATACCTCCTACCAATGATCATTTCTCTTCAATAGAGAATCTTGTAAAACTGAGGGAAAGGGGAACATTCTTGGAAGATGAATTCTACAAAGGGGTTTTAGTGACCATGGGCCCTGCATGAGAACAACTACACAGTGTGCAAGAATGCCTGTTTCTGTCCCCAGAGCACAATTTGTTGTGGGGTTTACTGTGTAACCATGGTGGCAGCCCCCACATTTCATTAGGGAATCTACTACTAGTTCATTTTTGATTCTCATTTTCTGTGGCTACACAATACTCATGCCACAAGCATAATCAGTGTTCCAGCTTCCCAGACCACCCACCTTTGCTTGCTGGGCTCCTAGTACCACTATGATCAAGTACTGCCTTCTCAGGGGCCACAAGCAAGGCTTCATGTCGTATCTTGTCTTCCTGATTTGCTGAACTCATTCCATCTACACCAACAGCTTCAACTCCATATTTCTCTGTCCCTTGTTACATGAGAGGCTCATTCCTAGGTGTTTCTGCTGTCCTTCTTGTCTTCATATTGTCTCAGTCCCCCCTTTCAATATTAGTAGTATCTGCCAGGTGTTGGTTGTATCTTGCCTGCAGCAACTGCTGCTTCCCAATGACATAAACGCAACTTTCCTGAGATGAAGATATGAAGCTTCCCTAGTAATATGGACACATCATTCCTGCAGGGTTGTCCCCCTAGAAGTTTCCCATTGCTTTTTGCGAGTGATTTGAAAGCAGCTTAGGCCAACTCTTTCTTTTCTCTCTTTCTGAACAGTTTGCTTTTGTTGGATCTCTCGCGATAATCTCCGGAAAAATCCCAATCAAACCCTTTGTAAGTATAAAGACCATCAATCTCTAGTTGGTTGTAATAGTTGAAACCGCATAGTTAATTGTTGCAGTTCCAGTCCTCCAATGTCCAATGCACAGTTTGGGGAAACAAAGCTCAGAACAGGTTAGGGAGTGTATATTCTTCATCTGGCCCACTGACACACTTGGGACGTCACTTCTGAGTGAACATGTTCATTTTCCACATATGATGGGAGGAAAACTGAAATCCAGAGTCGAAAGGGACTTGCCTGGTCACACATCCAGAGAGATTAGTAACAGTTGAGATGGGAGTCATTTCCTGATTCCAAGCCCAGAATTATGACCCTACCCAGTGCTGGGAACTCTCCAATCACCCCATAACCCCTGGGTTTATACTGCGGCTTCAGCCATCAGGAGCAGGTGCCAGCACCTAAGTCACCTTTGTGTTCTCAGCCATAGCTGGCCGGACCCTGTGGCTTCTGGAGTCAGGGTGTGCCTTTCCCACCTGGGTGGGCATGTGGCCGGAAGAGCAGCAGTGTTACTGCTTCCTCTTACTGTGTTTTCAAGGCTACTGCCTGCTCCTTGTGTTGTCTGTGGGTGGGCATAGCTAGCACCACAGGGACTAAGCCCACACACCAATACTTCTTGCCCTTTCTTGGGCAGAAAAAGGAAGTGCACATTTGTTAGCTGATTGTCAGATGAAAGTACATTCTCTTCCCGTAGGCCTGATCACCTCGTAGCGACTGTATTTATTAAAGGGTCTCAGGATTACAAAGGTGGAGAGCCACTGCTTTAGGGTATCCAAGCTCTTCAGTTTGCTTTCACTATTCTCTAAAGCTGCTTCAAGATGTGAGGTAAAAGTATAGTCTGGGTTCTCCAGAGGATGCCAAAGGCCATATTTTAGGAGGTCTTCAAAGGAAAGTTCTAAGAGCATTGGGCAAGTCAGTGGAGATCCTGGCAGCAGGCTGAGGAGTCCCAGCTCAGCATTCAGTGTCATAGAGAGTCAGGAAGCCAGACTGTGAGGAGCTGCTCACATTATCCCATTGAAGACACATTTTCTGTCTCGTGAAAAACTGCAGAGTGCTGAGCAATACAAAGACAAATTAGCCATAGTCTCCCTGATGAGAGGCCACAGATTCTATTAGAAACAGCTCTGGGAAGGACCACTGCAGTGTAATAGGCAGAGGGAACAGAGCACCCTAAACTAAGCTGGCGATGAGAATCCAACACAGAATCTCTCTTCCAGGCACTGAGCAGCCTGGCTTCCAATGCAGCAAGCTCTGTTGTTGCTGCCATTGGCCTCTTCCTCCTCACCCATAACCTCATAGCCCTGGGGACTGCCTCTCCACGCTGCAGTTCAGAGAAGAGATTTCTGGGCTTATTTCTTTATTCGGAATCCCACTATTGGATGAATGAAGACAAGAACTGTCTCCTTGCTTATGTCAGTGCCATGGTAAGCCATTCCAGGCCAAATGTCTTGGCATGGAAACCCCCAGTCTCTCACCTTTGAGTAATTTCTGCTTTTTCAGCAATCTCTGGTTTTGTTGGTCTGACTGTTCGGGGCAGACAGGGAAAAAAAAATTGAGTATGACAGAAAGTTAGCAGATTGTGTTGGGGATGTAGGAAGCATGGGGGGGAAGAGGGAAAGAGGGGAAGAAGGCGGAGAGTTGAAGAAAATACAATGGAGAGCTTTAAATCACAATAGGCAATGCTAGGCTTTGTTATGCGTGTTGAACCTGAACTTGGGAAGCCCTTTGTGGTTGTTGCCTGGAGCTGGAAAGCCCCACCCATTAGAGATGCTTGCCTTTTGGTCACTTGTATTCTGAGACTTGCAGCAGGTAACATGCTTAATTTCCTCAAGTGCACATCTGCTCAGGACTGGCAAAGAGGAAAGGGGTAGGAGGCAGTTGACCAGTAGACATGACTCCTGTGAAAACCATCAGTGTTCCCGGGCAGAATTTTCTTGTCACCTTTCACCCAAATTTGACCACCTATTGATAGTGACAAGCCTGGCTGAGTCCATTTTCTAAATGTAGGGTAATAGTATCTAAACCATAATAAGGAGTCTTTTAAAAATGAAGATTGTTCCTTCATGACTTCTCCAAGCGGGAGCAATAAGTGACCAAGCCAATATCTTTCATTCCCTTGTGTCCGTCTGACTTAGGAGTCTTGGAGAATGTGTGAAAGTTTTTGGACTCACATCCCTCTGAGCCTGGCCATGTGAGTAGATCAAAAGTGTTGACCTGGCACCTTGAGGAAGTGAAAGAGCAAAGACTTATTTGGTTAGAAGTGAGCATGAGAAAGCCCAGGAGGTCACACTGCAAGACAAACCAGGTAAAGCAGTGAGAGAAGGGTCCTCTCATTGTGATCCTGGGGGGTTGTTTTAATTAAGATTAATTTTAGTGCAACAGGTTATTTCCTACTCTCATATAAGGAAAGCCGAAAAGAACTTCTGTAACATCAGAAAAGATGCAGCATGGCAGAGTAAACCAACTTCAAAAGGATACTAATATTTAATAAAAACAGCATTAACCCGAACAGAAGTAACAGTGTGTGTGTGTGTGTGTGTGTGTGTGTGTGTGTGTGTGTGTGTACTTAAAACTGGAAGAAAATAAAAAGGAGCTGAAGGAAGGAAGAAATAAAGATGATGTAGGTTGCAGAAGCTAATTAGGATTCTAAAGTCAAATCATCAAAGCAGAAAACTGGGGGAGTCTGCACAGAAACAGGAGCTAGAGACGAGGACTGTTAGTGCCCAGGTAGGGTTTGGGGTTGTCAGACTTGTCTGCACACACCAAGAGCCCTACAAATGTAGTAGAAATAGAGATTGAAAGTCATTTGACTTGTGACATCAGACAAGGAAATGGTACTCAATGCCCCCGGAAGTTTCACGCATCCCTGCCCTCAGCTCACTCAACCCCTTGCAGATGGCTAACTAAACCCACAGTTCACAGACACCAGGCAGGGCAGGGGTGGAGGCTTCTAATAAAGGGATTTTAAAACTGCTTCTGTATCCCTGATACACCTCAGGTCCTTGCAAAATCAGACGTAAAGAAGCTGTCTAGGGACATAGCAATAATCCCCACTTATAAGAATCTTATATATTGAAGACACACACTCGTACTGTCACTATCACATATGCACTTAAACTGTATAATGATAAACAAGAGAAATGTGAGGGAAACACTCAGTCCTGTTGAGTGCTGTATGAAAGCAGGCTGAACAAGCCAATAAGCAATGTCCTTCCGTGGCCTCTGCTTCAGCTCCTGCCTCCAGGTTCCTTCCCTGAGTTCCTGCCTTGACTTCCTTCAGTGACTACCTGGAAGTGTAAGCTGAAATTAACCATTTTCTCTCTAAGGCGCTTTTGGTCATGGTGTTTTATAACTGTGACAGAAGCCCTGAGTAGGACAAAACCAAACCTGAGACAAGGACAGTGTGATAAAAAGGACAGGGGGAGCTGATAAACAGAAACCAGGACTAGAAACGACAAAATCTTAGAGATTCAAAGCTGAGGTCAGTGAAGGCAGATTTGATGCACCTGAGGAAATACCTCATGAAATCATATCAAATTTGAGAGATGGGAGTGACAGACTCTGAGGTGACAAGGAAACATGGAGTAAGCTCTCATAGAAAAGTGTGGGGGACAGAGACTATGAAGAAACAATTATCTGAGGAATTTCCAGAATCGGAGCCGTGAAATTGCACGCTGAAGGAACCCAGGGAAGACCCTACAGGGCAAGTAAATCTGAATGCGCACCTGAAAACAGGCTGAGTGAAAAGTACCAAGGACAAACAAAATGGTGAAGACCAGCAGAGCCGATGGCCAGTCACTCTTCCTTCTCATCTCTTTCTGATCACTAAGAAGAGAAGAGGATTGAGCCATTGTCTCTGCTCCTTCTTGTCTCCATTGCTGAGTGCTTCAATGCCCCGCCCTGTCCCACCCCACCCCCTCTCAGTAGGGCCCAAAGGCTTTGTGTGGGGTCCCACCCAGGCCTGTGCTGCTTTTCAGAGCGGGCTGGTGTTGATGCTCATCTTCACTGTGATGGAATTTTTGCTAGCTGCGTACAGTTTTGTCTTTTGGTGGAAGCAAGTCTACTCCAACAAGCCTGGGGTAAGTACCTTGATATCTCTGGGACACCTGCTGTGCCCCCACTCTGAGCTGCAATGATGCAGGCTCAAAGGATCCGATGGAAAGTGACTTTAATAACGAAAATAAGTGTTCAGTGAATTGTCACCTGGAATCAGATGCAAACACTTTCTTATTATTCTTATTAAATATAAACCCAGAATCAGATATTGTGGTAAATGCTGAAAGATCAGAGAAGTAAAGGATTCAGCCACTAGAGAGAATTTTACCTCGACCTAATCCCAGACCAAAGAAGGCAAGATCTTGTCTCTAGTAATCCTCAAATTGAATGCCTTGAGCTCATGTCTCCTCCTGCCTTATATTCTACTCTCTGCTCAGTCATATCCCTTTCTGTCTCCACCTTCCTAGTGTTGGGATTAAAGGCATGTGATTCTCAAGTACTGGGATTAAAGGTGTATACCACTACGGCCTGGCCTCTATGGCTAACTAGTGTGGCTAGCTCCACACTCTGATCTTCAAGCAAATTTTATTTGTTAGATCACAAACAAAATATCAACACGATCAGATAGTGCCTACAGGATAGCAGCGCTGATAGAGAGTCCGCCCCATGAAACTAGCTGGTTCTAAAAGTTCGCTCACGAAATTTCATGAATGAACCAGAATTTATAAAAAATATGTGGGGAAGTTTATACAGTTTTGCTCTTATCGTGGACACTGACATTGTCTCCATGGCCAAGCCCTGGCTAATGCAATTTTACCAAGACGTTACTCTTTCGTTTGTTTTTCTGCTCTTTCCCTTGCTTCCTCTTAGCCTTTTATGTTGTAATTCCAATCTGTTTTCATTTCTCCTAAATGTTACACGATAGAAAATGTTATAATTTGAACGAATTATGATTCAACATCAAAGTTACTATAAAGCAACAAGATGAGAAAATGGAGACTGAAATTAATATTGGTGCAGTTACATATTATGATAAAGTTGCAAAAATACTACTATAAAATATTACTATAATATGTATTATATCATTGTATTTGAGGGAAATAAATGAAAACATTTTAAACCCTGCCCCGAAAATCAAAATGTTCCAATCGATTAATAAATGTTATCCTTCTAGAGTACATATTTCATGCCTGAGTCACAAGATCAACTTGTCAAAAGCAGTTCATTGGGGCCATGAGTAGGAAACACAGCAGAAGAAGGAAGAAAACCAGTGCTCATGGCAGAGCACGGCTCATCGTTCCTGAAATCTCAGCCTTGGGAGATCCAAATAAACTTCTGAAGAAAAGCTTTCCTGTAGTGCTTTCATTATGAGCCACTTCATTTCCACTGGAAATCATTTCCTCAAAATCCGGTCAGCAAGATTCTAGGGCCCAACATTCTACAATGACCACAGACTTCATAGCTTTTCCAAAGAGAGCACACAGACAGTGCTTCGTCTGTCTGACGTCAGACGAGAAAGGGTGCAGTCCTGTACTGATGGACACTGATAAGGTCATGCAGCTGGGCAGGCTCCTTCTCGGTGCTGCTTGCACATTCCTGTTGCTTAACTGTTAGACATTATGCATTACTAGGCCATCTGACAGCCTTTGGAAATGTGGCAGTCTGTGCAAGGACCTGGGTTTGATTTCCAGCAATGAAAAATAATAATCGATCATACCCAGGCATGATGGTTCACACCTGTAACCCCAGGGTTTGAGAGGCTGAAGTTCAAGGTCAGTTTGGGTACAGAGTGAGACTCTGTTGCAAGACAATGACTTATTTCTGTCTCACTTAATGACTTCACATATATTCGGAATGGGTATTGAATGTGGGACCTTGCACACGCTAGGAAAGAACTCTTCCACTGAGTTAGCAACCCAACATATTGGCTTTATTTTTTATTTGAAGACTATAATTAATCATGGTATACTCTCTCATCTAAGTACTAGATTGAATAAGCCATTGGATGTAGAAAAGCAATAGCAACTTCAATCCTGGATTGGAAAAAAATCAACATTGCTCACCCAAGAAAGAGAACTTCCAATTTTGCTGCCCAGAAACAAATGTGTAACTGAAATAAATATGCAAGGTTTCCAAACATGCCATGGAAATGCATACAAGCATAGATCATTCTCTTACATGCCTGAGGACAATAAAAAGACAAGTAAAATCTATAGAGAACTCAGAAAGCAGAGTGCAAAGAGAGCTGATCTCTTTTTCTTGGATTCATTTTTTAACAAGTGTGTGTGTGCGTGTGTGTGTGCGCACACACGTGTGTACATACATGTATATGAATGCATGTGCCTCAGAGGCCAGAAGTGTCAGATGCCCCTTAGGCAGTTATGAGTCACCAGATATCAGTGTTAGGAACTGAGCTCCAGCCCTCCGAAAGAGCAGTGCACCCCTTTACTGTCTTTCTCTCCGAAAGAGCAGTGCACCCCTTTATTGTCTTTCCCTCTGAAAGAGCAGTGCACCCCTTTACTGCCTTTTCCTTATCATTGCCATTACCACCATCATTTCAAACATTCTAATTCAAATATAATGGCATGGGTGATAACAATGAGGGTAGGCTGGCGGGATGACCAACCCAGCTACCACCCAGGCCCAGAGCCAGGCTTATGAGTTAGCCCACCTCAATGTCCACCTCACCTATGGACTGCTGGAGCATGTGAAGGGGCCAGACCTACAGATCCAAAACATCAGGATCTCTACCACACAGGACAACAAAAGGATATCCAAGAGGAATCCCAGTGAAGGGCCAGAGTCAATAGTGTAACAGAAGCTAGAGGCTTTGAACCAGATCCTTGACTCATTGCAATGAGTCAAGTAATGACGTGTGGACTGAAGGGTACACTGTGACACACTACAGTGCCCACACTGTTTGTTTTTTTTACTTTAAAATTTGATTTTGTTTTGGGGGTGAGATTGCAAGGTCAGAGGATGGAATCAGGGGAAGGGGAGGATGAGTGGGATCAGGATACACGATACGAAATCCACAAAAAAACAATAAAAAGTTTTTTTAAAAAATATATAATGGCATCACTTCTCTCCTCTCTTTCCTCCCACCAGCCTCTCCCAAGTCTCCTCCCTTGAACTGCTTCCATGTCTCCTCCCCATTATAATAGTTATATAATATCATTATACCCATAATAAAAATGGTTGTGTGTATGTGGTTTCAGGGTTGACCCCTTTGTATTGGACAACCAGTTAGGAGGCTCACCCCTAGGAGAAGCTAACCTTTCCTGTCTTAGCAGTCATTAGTTGCCAGTAATTGTGTGTCTGGGGTAGAACCCCATGAGATTTTTCTCCCTTCCACATTAACATATCTATTGATACTGCCATTCTTCAGATCTCGTTCAAGCAGTCACTTCTATGAAAGACTGTTTCAAACAGACATCCTGGTATTTTCGTTCTTAGGATCTTTCTACCCACTCTTCTGAGATGTTCCCTGAGCCAAGATACAGGAGCTGTGATACAGATGTACCACTGGAGCTGGGATTCCCATGATTCATTGATCGTGTCCAGCTATGGTTTTCTGTGATGGTCTCCACTTGCTGTAAAGAGAAGCTTCTTTGATGAGAGGTGATAGCTACTAATCTGTGGGTAAGATTCAGTGTAACATGAGGGCCGGCTTGTTGGGGTTTCTGTACCCCACAACCGGCAAGTCCCAAAGAAATAACAGAGTCTACATTAGGTTATAAACTGATTGGCCCATTAGCTCAGCCTTCTTATTGACTAATTCTTACATCTCACAGTAACCCATAATTCTTGTCTGTGTTAGGCATATGGCTTGGTACCTTTTTCAGCTGTCAGCTCATATGTTGCATCTTCAGTGGTCTGGGCAGAAATGGAAGAGGGAGCTTCCTGCTTCCCAGACTATTCCTGTTCTCATCGCCCCGCCTCTACTTCCTGTCTGGTTGACCCACCTATACTTCCTGCCTGGCCAATCAGCGTTTTAATAAAATACATGATTGACAGAATACAGATAATTCTCCCGCACCAATTCAGAGTGTGGTTAGGAACTGAGCTGATTCAGCAGGGTGGAGGTAGTAGTTTTATTCTAAGGTTCTGACCTCACTAGCCCTGATGGGAGAGAATATAAATCATTAGTCTTTCTGAGTCTGAGTTCCTTCACTCAATATAATCTTTACTAGGTCCATCCAATAACTTGCAAGTTTCATGATTCCATTTTTGATTAAAGATAAATAGCATTCCATTTTGTATATGTGCCACATTTTCATTATCTACTTTTCTGTCGGAGGACATTTAGGATGTCTCCATTTCTTGGCTATTGTGAATTAGACAGCAATGCAACTGCTGAGACGTATTTGAGGAGTAGGGTGTCAACTCCATTGAGCATATATCAAGGAGTTGTGTAGCTGCGTCAAAAGGTAGATTTATTTTTAGTTTATTGAGGATTCTCTGTACTGATTTCCAGAATGGCTGCAGCAATCTGCATTTCCAGCAGAGACTGAAGGTTCCCCTTCCCTGTGACCTCACCAGCATTTCTTGTCAATTGTTTTGTTGATCTTTGCCATTCTGATTGGAATAAGATGAAGTCTCAAGGTTGTTTTAATTTTCATTTCCCTAATTGCTAAGAATGATGAACACTTTCTGAGTTATTTTTAGCCACTTTTACTTCTTCTATTGAGATCTCTCTGTTTAGACCCTTTGCCCATTTTTTAATTGGATCATTTGTTTCCATGACTACCTGTTTTTTGAAATCCTCATGTTCTGGATATTAATCTTCTGTCAGATGTGTAGGTGGCCAAGATTCCCTCCAACTCTGGATCCTTCACGCAACTGATTGTTTCCTTAACTTCTGCACAAACTCTTAACCACTGGGCCATCTCTTCAGCCCCAAGAGTGGATCTTAAAGTTTCTTACCACAAGAAGAAAAATGAAAAAGCAATAACAATTTAAGGTGATGGATACATTAATTGCCTTCATTATGGTAATAATTATGCAGTGTATCTGTGTATCAAAACATTGCCCTGAACACTGTAAGTATATGCAAGTTTTAATATACTTTAAAAATCTTGAAAACATAATCACAATTCACTATTTTCATAGTATTAAGAGATTTTGTTAAATAATAACATTTTTTCCTAAAAGAAGGAAACTCCATTGGCAAAAGGATGGAAGTATGTTTGAAGAGTAAAAACACAGGTTCTGGCGACAGAAGGACAGCCTCCTTTACCTCTCCTTTGGTAACTATCCTTCGGCACTTTGATCCTTCTGCTCCTCAGTCTGAGCACTGCTCACTGTCTGATGTGCCACTGCCAACCACACCCACAGTCACCTACAGTGCCTGGGACATAGCAGAGGTGCCAAAGGCTTAGTGCCTTTGTGTTTCATAAGCAAGTCCACAAAAAGTTCAAGAGAAGTAGTATGTCCAGGCAACAGCATGTAAATGTTAAGAAGCCCTGGTATTTGTGATTACTGCAATCTAGGAAATATCGGAGATGGTTCCTGCAAATATTATGTTTGCCCTTATCTAACTGCTTACCTCAGCGATTTAGCAGTTGAAATCATAATAAATACATGAATATAAAAGATTAGCCTGAAAAATTCTAAGCCATGTATAATTGTAATTAGTATTGATAGAGTATCAGAGCATAATTGTGAAATATATGTGTGCATGTATGTATATATATATGTGTGTGTGTGTGTGTGTGTGTGTGTGTGTGTGCATACAGGTACAGGCACTTGTTTTGTGTGTACCATCTAGCTAATTTTGTGCTTACTATATGCTTTTTAAGCAAGCTTATAATAGAGCCAGTTTTCCAGGTTTCCTCTGTAAGAATCGAGAAGGCTGGTACACTCTAGAATTCTCAGATTCTATGACTCAATGACTGGGATTCTGTGGTTCTAGTACTATGCAATTGCTACGGGCTCATTGCGCAGGACTCCATGTGGCCCTAGGGAGGAAATACATCATGATTATGGCCGCAATGTCCTCTCGCTCCTTCTCCTAACAGAGCTCTACCGCTGAATCATGGAGTCACCATCTGAGGAGAAAAGAAGGAGCCATGTCATCACTATAGACCCAAATGAAACCATCTTGACTGCCTTTCCTTACAGACCTCATAATTCCCTGCTCGATCTCCTGAAGGGGGAGCCAAAAGTTTTGGGGGTGAGTTCTGCCTTTTCATAGATCGTTCCATAAGGGAGAAGAGGGGCCAAATCTCCATTTTTGTCTACAGAGGTAGCTCTGTGCAATCATATTCAGGGAGGGAGTTGGTCGCCCTTCCTCCCTGCCATTTCATCTACAATGTATCCTTCTACAGTCAGGGAAGCTCACTGGTCTCCATTCTCCCCAGAGAGCTATTGACAGATAATAGCTTTTTGGGGGCAGCAAGGGAATCAGTAATTTCCCCCAAAAGTGTAGCTACTGATAAGTTTTGCCCATGCTCCAATAAATAACCCCATAACATAAGTTATTGTCAGTGAGTCACCAAAAAAGACATGAAAATTAAGGATTAGTGGGGGAAAAGAAAGGTTCAGTATGGATGCGAGCAGGTTCAAAGAAGGTAATGGGTTAATGTGATAAATACATTGCATTCACGTATGAACTACTCAAAAACTGAAAAGGCAGCACATCTAAGTCAATTGCTTGTGAAAAAATGGATCCTCAGAGAAAAGTCATCATGTGCCATCTCCAAGGATTTTGATTAAAATAGAGAAACAAAAGAACTCTTTAGAAGGACAACGCAGTTTGCCTTTGGTCTGAATTATATGTTAACTCTCAGTGGTCGATGCAGAAATGTTTCCGAGGTGATGGATTAAGTAGCTTTCGGGAGTGACTAGTCTAATAACTCACCAAGCCCAGGGAAGTCCTATGGCTGTTTCATGGGGAGCTAGTTCTGATCTCTGGCTTCCAACACAAGGGAAGTAGAAAACTATGTAATTTTTCCAAATATCTTCTTAGAAAGTGGCCCCAGGCTATGCAGTGCCTCTCACAGAACTAAGAAAGCAGGGAAGGTGAGGTCAAAGTTCATCAGTGGAGTGTAGGTCTAAGGATGCATAGGCTCAAATAACATGAAATGAAAATATTTTTTTAAATTATGCCTATATTGAATATGTACAGCTAGTTTTCTTGTACACATTCCACAGACAGTGTAATAAACAGCTACTTCATAAGTTTACATTCTAGTAAGTGCTCTGTTCACTCCTAGGCAGATGATGCTTAAAGGTTTCTGGTGCTTGTATATGTGGCCAATTGCATACTACCATCCTAGGAGACAATTTAAAGGATACAGGAGGAAACAGGTGTGGTGATGCTAGCCTGTCATCCCAGCATTGGGAGGTGGAGTCAGGAGAGCCAGGTGATTACAATCACCCTGTGCTACCTAATGATTTGAACACAATTTGGAATTCAGGAGATCCGGTCTGGAAAAACAATGTACAAAGCAGAAGATGTGTGTAGATTATCTATACATAACATTTCTAACATAAGAGCCTTAAGCATCCTCAGATTTTGGTCCTGGAACCAAGCCTCCCACCCGCTTTCCCATGCAAACCAAGGATGGACTGTACTCAGCACTGTCGATTGGAGAGGCTAAGTGTGAGGATAACCAGAATATGCCAGGGTGACAGAGGAGGAAGGGGGTAAGGGAGTAGTTTGGGGACCTGTCCTTAAGAAGCTTGCAATCTAGGTTTAGTCACACGTGCTACAAGATACACTGGGGATCTTGGGCAATAGTAAAAGACCAGAGTGAAGACTTAAACTTTGGAGGGACTCAGCATGATGGGGACATGAGATGTTTGTACTGGGGTGATGTGCAGCCAGAGGCCTGGGCTCGTGTTACCTCATGTTTATTTTCTCCTTCCAGGCTATCCAGATTCTTCTTTCTCTGGTCATTGTGGGCCTTGGGATTATATTAGCATTTAATTTCATCTTTTTCTCCAAAAAATTTCCTCTCGTGATCCTCACAGGATATCCATTCTGGGGAGCATTTTTTGTAAGTACCACATGCTAAGAATATGTTGGAAATTGCTATAAAGACCATAGGAATTGCATTCAGTTCTTTGACAATAAATTTCCTAAGTATGTTCCTTCCTGGACACCAAACAGGCAGACCACTCTTTCGTAAAAGAAAGTATTCCGTATTATCCCATTGGCCATTGTCTGCCCCCCTCACAGTAACAGCTGTCCCTAGGTACACAGTGCTTGTCCAAAGCCCATGGGTAGAGTGCATCCCGCAGTGTCAACCTGGATGATGAAGTGGGCAGACAGTCTACTTTACCATGTGCAGACATGGTAACCTGAGAACAGGAATTCATGCTACTATCACTCACAAAACAGGACTCAAGGAGAAGGAAAACTTGAGGGTCATCACAGCTCAGCACCCTTCTTAGACCCAGAGGGTTTAGGACTATCACTGACAGGTGACCATGGAGTCATCAATTTTGTTCTTAGTACTATGCTAGTTCCACTGAACCCTCCAGCCTTGGTTCCTCATCCCTTGTTGCACATTTAAGGGTAAACTCACTAGAGTATCTCACACATTAAAACATACAAGAGGATGAGAATCGGGTCTGTTTACTTCCTTTGATAGTCTCAGAAATTAGGACCATGCTTGAGATATGAGATGCATGAATGAAGGCACAAGTCAATCAATCAATAAGCAAATAACTGAAATAAAGAACTAACGGGACCACTGTCTCTATGAAAACCAGTCATGTGTTTTGATAAGCATTCTGTGCCGTTTCAATAATCTCTATTTCCAAAACAAATGATAACATTCCATTTTCCCAATGAAAGAATAGGAGGTTGATTTCTTTTTGTTTGTGTTTTTTTGTTTTTGTTTTTTTAGTATTCATTTCTTTTTATTTATTTATTAAAAAAACCCAAATTATCTTTTTTCATTATACATACCAATCAAAGTTTCCACTCCCTCCCCTCCTCCTACTCCCTCCACCTACCACCCCCCACTCCCATCCAATCATCGGAAAGGGTAAAGCACATTGCTCTGAGGAAGGACCAAGGCCCTCCCTACTATATCTAGGCTGAGCAAAATATCCATCCAAAGAGAACAGGATCCCAAAAAAACCAGTACATGCAGTAGTGATAAATCCTGGTGCCACTGCCAGTGGCCCCTCAGTCTGCCCCAGCCATGCAACTGTCAACCACATTTGAGGGACTAGCTTGGTCCTATGCTGGTTTCTTCCCAGTCCAATTGAAGTTGGTGAGCTCCCATTAGCTCAGGTAGACTGTTTCAGTGGGTGAACCCATCATGGTCTTGACCTCTTTGCTCATATTCTCACTCCTTCCACTCTTCAATTGGACTTTGGGAGCTCAGTTCAGCGCTCTGATGTGCATCTCTGCCTCTGTTTCCTAAACTGCACTCACTCTAACGTAAAGAACCAAAGGGACCCAGATTTCACCTCCCCATTCTCCAAGCAAATTCTCCCAATATGAGTTGTGAGAGTCACAGGTGTGAAGTTTAGTAAGGCTTGATTTATGCTTTAAAAAAAAATCAATTCTTCTAGCCCATTCCCTATGGAGGAATACCTTGCTCAGCTTCAATACTAGGGAGAGGGGCTTGGGCCTGCCTCAACTTGATAAGAAGACTTGTGGACTCCCCATGCGAGGCCTTACCCTTTCTGAGAAGTGGATGGGGAACCAAGTGGGAGGTGGGGGGAGGGGGGAGGAGGGGTAGAGGGGGAACTGCGATTGGTATGTAAATTGAAAAAAGAATGAATTTTTAAATTAAAACAAATCAGTCTTCATGGGAAAGACATTTATTGGACACACAACTGCATCTTCTTGGTAATGTTCCAGATCTCTAAGTACTGTGAGGAAAAGCCCTTCCCGAGAAATGTGACAGACGATCTTACACCTAGGAGAAGTGCTCCAGAGAACTGTATGAGGGAGGGTGTAGTGGAGGACCCACCAGGGCCCAGGGCAGAGAAGCACTTCCTACAGGGGTTCTCATGAACTGAGGAGAAAGGCACTAGCTAAGGGTGTGTCATGGGAAAATAACCGAGAAAAACGCATGGCCGCGGCCGTGGCGTAACATGGAGCCACCTAGTAACTGTCTGCTCGTTAGCTAATGGCATCTGAGCTGACTCCACCTCTAGCTACTGTGAAGAGGGCAGCATTAAACATGGCTGTGTGCATTTCAGCATCAGGGCAAATGGTGTCTATTGATGACCGTTGTCTTCTTTTTGTTGAAAGGTGTGTTCTCATTAGAGTTCACTGTGGGTTTTTGAGGGGAAAATGAATTCAAGGATGTCAGCCATCCTGGGAACATCAACTAGAAAGATGTTGTGGTTGCCCAGAAAGGAAGATGATACTGTGAGGCCCCAAGAGAAAAGGCTAGAGGGGGTCTGGAGGTGGGGGGCCAGGTGGAGCAGAGGAAGATGCCAGCAGAAGCTTCCCAGTGTCTGTCTTGCAGCATACGGATTTTAGATGCTAAGACCCAAATGTCCCCAGGTGCTGATGACAACCCCTATAGATGGAATTAAAACAAGGATGTTCCTCCCTACCACTCAGGTTAGAAAGGCTAGATGCTGGGGAGGGGGAGTACCGCTGACAGTTTGAAAACCCAAAGGAGACTGTGTTGTAGACAGATTAGATGGACCACCTGTTAACCATTGCCTTTTGTCTTCTGAACAGTTTTTTCTGGCAGGATTCATCACAGTGTACAATGATAAATTAAGACAAAATCCGGTAAGTAGTTTTAATAACTTTTATCTGATTTAAAATCCATTTACTTTGTAGCAGCTTTGACCTTAAGCTTCAGGGTTTCTCAGGAAGATCTTTTATGCATCAAACTTGTGGTTCAAACCCAACCTGTGGATGATTTAGCCCTATGTTCTTTCCCTTTCTCTCACTTCTTTTGTCAAGAGAATTGAAAGTTACCCATTGGGAACCATCCTATATTGCTGTAGTTAAATTATTTTTAATTGGGAGTAGATTTTTGCTCCTTCTCTTTTCACGGGGAATAGTTCACAATGTCCGAAGATATCTTTTGGTTCACAACTAGGTGGGGTATACTATTGAGGGTAAGAGCCATGGTTGTCTCTAAGCATACTTTTTCCTTTTGAATTTTTTAAAATTTATTTATTTATTTATTAAAAATTTCCACCTCCACCCCGCCTCCCTTTTCTCCCCCCCTCCCCACCTCTCCCTCCCTCTCTAGTCCTAAGAGCAGTCAGGGTTCCCTGCCCCGTGGGAAGTTCAAGGTCCTCCCCGCTCCATCCAGGTCTATAAAGGTGAGCATCCAAACAAACCAGGCTCCCACAAAGTCAGTCTATTCAGCAGAATAAAAACCCAGTGCCATTGTCCTTGGCTTATCAGTCAGCCTTCATTGACAGCCACATTCAGAATGTCTGTTTTGATCACATGCTCCATCACTCACAGTCCAGCTGGCCTTGGTGAGCTCCCATTAGATCAGTCCCACCGTCTCAGTGGGTGGACATACCCCTCGTGATCCTGACTTCCTTGCTCATGTTCTCCCTCCTTCTGCTCCTCATTTGGACCTTGGGAGCTCAGTCCAGTGTTCCAATGTGGGTCTCTGTCTCTATCTCCATCCATTGCCAGATGAAGGTTCTATGGTGATATGAAAGATATTCATCAGTGTGGCTATGGGACAAGGCCAGTTCAGGCACCCTCTTCTCTGCTTCCCAAGGAACAGTCTGGGGACCTCTCCTTGGACTTGGGAATCCCTCTAGTGACAAGTCTCTTGCAAACCCTAAAATGGCTCCCTTAATTAAGATATTTACTTCCCTGCTCCCATATCCATCCTTCCTCCATCCACCCATCCCATTCCCCCAAGCTCTCCTGAATCCTCCCCTTCTCCCTTCTCTCTACCCATCTCCCCTTACATCCACCCCCACGCCCCTGTGCACCCAAGTTTTGCCTCGCATCCTTGTCTATTTCCAATATCCAGGAGAATAACTATATGATTGAATTTATGTTTTTATTTTATGTGTAGGAGTGTTTTGCCCAAAGAGGCCAGAAGAGGGCATCAGATCCCCTGAAACTGGAGTTACAGATATTTATCAGTCACTGTAAAACTGAACCTGGGTCCTCTAAAAAAGCAGCCAGCTCTCAACCACTGAGTCTTCCCTTCAGTCCCCTTCAAACAAGCTTTAAAACAATGGCAACACGGGGAGACTTCCTACAACAATAGAAAAATCATCTGACCAAAACATCTACAGTCTCAAAGTTGAAAAACACTACCTGAACCAAAACCCACCCCCAGAACCCTGCCACCCTCACTTCCTATCCCCAGCCCCGCCTCCAATGACAATAGGCGCTTTGCTCGGAGGCTGTAGTGCAATTTCTACTTGGTCTTAATAATAAAAACCCAGAGTCAGATACTAGGGGGTAAAGCAGAGCAGCCAGTCACTAGTTCATACCTATATGAAATCCTCAGACCGAATGGGGTATCCTGTCTCTACAAGTTCTTAGACTGAATGTCTTCTCTATGAAACCTCAGACTGACTCCTGAGCTTCTGTCTCCTGCCACCTTATATTCCTCTCTCTGCCTGTCCTGGTTGTAGGGCTGCGTCAGAGCTGCTTGGCTCTCATTGCTCTGTCCACTTGAAGGGAGATTCCTAAGAGCTACTTTGAGGACTAAGATAATACTTACAAAAGGTTTGGTGATGTGTAAATATTCTTATTCTCATCTAATCATTGCAGGAAGCCCTAGAGTTATGGGCTTCCTTTCATGGTCACTGGATCCATTTTCATGGCCCTCTGTCAATTTCCTCAGGGATAGTTACAAACCCTAGAGTGGTCCTAGGGAGAGGGATGGATGCCTCCATCTTCTCCTCTGGAGATAGATGCTGACAGCCCCTATATCATCTTCTTCCAGAGCTGAGACACCCACAAAGGTTATCTATGCCTCGTGGAGAGCTTTACAGATGGATGAAGGCATTGCATGACACACGGGGTGGGACTGCAGATCTGGTTCCCACAACAGCTTTTCCATCACACATGAGATGACCTCAGTCACTTAGTTCCTAATCCCATGCATCTCTAAATCATGGCTAGCAAGGGTCTACCTGACGTGACAATCCCATAATAAGAATCAGATGGGACTAAGGCTGGGTGTGCTCTTTGTAAGGCACAGTCTGCATGAGGGATCACACCAGAGACCCGAGTCTGTTAATGTTCCCTGTGGAAGTCAAAACAGAGACTAGAGAGACCAAAGGACTTAATATGGAGAGTGTATGACAGATTTGCATGCTCCTTGGTTTTGGGTCTTTTTGGGGTTTGAGGTTTTTGTTTGCTTTGCCAAAACCAAATAAAGATCTTCTTCAATGAAGATCTCAGCTTCAGGTGAACAGCTGTAAGAGCACTTCCGGTCTTGCCACAGCTCCAAGGATGTAAACACACAGCTTCATTTCCAACCTCAGCAGACAAGATACAGCCCATAGAGGGACAGCAGACACACTCCGGAATGACATCCAACCTCAGCAGACAAGATACAACCCACAGAGGGACAGCAGACACACTCCGGAATGACACTTTCTCTCTAAAAATTAAGAATGACTATGAAGGAAATAATATGATGCCCACAACACAGCTTTCTTGTAAGAAACTCAGACATGCCCACCTTTCCCATCAAATGTACTGGGAATGAATAGAAGGAATTAAGCAGAGGGTGCCCAACACCAACTGATCTATCTACGGTACAACTGGAGGCGCAGGGGACAGCACGCAGGGTGTAAGAAAGACTGTAAGGGCCAGAGCATCTACTGTAAGACTGCATCTTCCATTATGACAGGGAATCTGAAACCGTGATCTCAACATCATGGTTACCTAAATAAGACCTGAAAGATGACAACAACTGACATGCTAATATGAATGAGAAATATCATGAGGCCTCACCCCAGAACTACAATCTAGTAGTTGAAGAACTATAATCTGTGACTGCTAAGATAGGGACAATCAATTTGTTCCAGGGATAAACCTCGTAGGTGATCTAATCCCAAGTGTTCAGTCTTAGAGAAACATACAAATGAACAACACTAAATTAACTCTGTAGGTTGTATTATAAATTTATATGTACATATATGTAAAAAATAATCATTAATAATTAGAGGCCATGAATTTGAGGAGTGAGGGGACAGAACATGGGAGAAGCTGGAGTTGGGGGGAGGTGAGGTAAACACAATATTCACAAATGAAATTCTCATAAGATAAGTAAAATAATTTTAAAAATTAAAAGGAACTAAGTGAGCAATCAGCTTTTTATGCCTCCCATGTTGGAGCACGAAGACCAGGGCAACTTTAACCCCTAGTCCAGATTTTACCATCTTTAACCAGACAGTTGTGTTGGTCATTGTTTGAATCTTCCTGGGCAATGTAAGTGAGCCAGATGGTGAACTGTCAGTTCCCACATGAATCTTTATATGACTGGGGCCTAACGTGGTAATGATACATATTCAGTATATGCACTAAACCTTTAGAAAATAAATGACTACAGTTAAGTCATTCTCATTTTCAAAGGTAGAAATTGAGACTCAGACAGATTAAATAGTTGCTACAAGTTCTAATAAAAGCAGGACTCAAAATCAAGTCCGATTTCCAAGGTGAGATACTTCCCAAGGCACCATGTCCTTCCAGGTTGTGAAAGATGGTTTGTGTTGAGATGGACATTTCAGGATCGCTAGCCACAGGGCATTGTTGGCTCATTCTACAGTTTGCTTTGCCTTCTGACTTTGACCAATCAGAACAGAATTTGTCAAACCTTCCAATCCCATGGACCTGATGCAGCCTCTAGAACTAGAAAAGTTCTGAGAATTTCCTACAAGGTATCTTTATCTTTAGTTTTTATTTACTTTATCTTGTCTTATATCTATTTTCCAGAGACAAAAAGTCACAACCGTGAACATCCTCAGCTCGCTGGTTGCATTAGCTGGGATTGCCTTGATCCTCATCAGCTTTACACAGCAGCACAAATTCTGTCAGGCGCCCTCCCTCGAAGGAACGTGTGTTGTAGGCAGAACGCTTCTCCTTGTGAGTGACCTGATTCTGGAAGAGGAGTCTGTGGAACCTTAGCCAGGCTACGTCCATGGCACAGTGATGAGTTGCTTTTTACCCCTGACCTCATGTATAGCTGCTTCTAGAACCACAGTCTCTTGATTTTTAATCCCACTTATAACTCCGGGGAGCTTGTATTCTTGGTGTAACATTGTACAGTCTCCATATCTTGGTTTGTTTTCTCTTGTAAAAATTTAAGATATTAATATAAAAGCTGCCTCATTGACCTGTGATAAGGATTACTTCAAATAATACTTGACAAAATATAAATACTCAATAGCTATATTATAACTATTATTACTTCAATTGTATTAGAGTTTACCTTTTGCTAATCAAAAAGTTACTCTATTGGTATAAAACAAAATATGGAGTGAGAAAGTGAGGACTTTCAATCTTTTAAATACACAAGCCATTTTCTACAATTGTAAATTTTTACTTGGTAGGGTAAACGATATATTAATTTATGAGAATATGATTATACATGTGGTTTTTGTTAATTTATTTTTGTATGTGTGTGGGTGTGCTGCTTGAATGTGGGACTATGCACCATGTGCATGCCTAGTCTCTGAAGCCAAGATATAGTGCCAGATGCTCTGGGACTAAAATTACCGATGTTTATTAGCTACAGTGTGGATTCTGGAAAGTGAAGCCAGGTCCTCCAGGAAAGAGCCAGTGCTTAAAATATCTGACTATCTCCAGCTCCTGATTAAAATTAAGGTTTTTAAGAGTCTATCATATAAGCAATCCATGACATTATAATTATTTTAATTATTTTTTACATTTATTTACTTGAGGTATGTGTGGTCCACAATGCCATAGCTTTCATGTGAACATTCGAAAACAGCTTACAGGAGTTCTTCATCTCCTCTCAACATGAGGATCCTGAGGCTTAAAATAAGGCTGTCAGGCTTGATACCAAGTGCTGTCACCATGCTAGCCCCAACATCATTTTCAATCATGTCAAAGATGCCAATGGGCCCTTTCCTCTGGCCCTAAAGAAAACTCTGGACTTTTAATCTGTTTCTGATAGCAACATCTTGAAGACTTGGATCCTAGAATTTGAAAATTTGAACCAATAAGAACAAAAGTGAAGTAGAAACATGGGAAATTATCTCCTTTGATTTAATTCCTGTAATCATCTGTTGAAGTGAACCAAAGGACCTCCTTGTGTGTGCTGAGATAAAGTCCCAAATTATACTTGGGTTCCTAAGAACAGTCAGAAAACAATTATAGGAAATAAAATCCTGTTGTACTTGATTCAAGTGCATATGATGGAAGTTTTATAAGGACTGGGGCCAATTCTCTCCTGCTGGAAGGCAAACAGTGTGGAACTTAACACAACAGGGGATTACACACTTCAGGCCGTTATCTAAGCTTCTGCATGTGTTCAAAAGACACTGAGAGGCAGAGAGCTTTACTCATGTTCCCAGTGTAAGTGTGACCTTGCACACAATTGTACCCAGCTTTTGTTGCCTTCAGTATTTAAGCTTTTTGAAAACCACACTGCACCATCCCGCCTCTCAATGAAGACATTACCTTAAAGTAGCGCCTGCAAAATGTTAATCTGGGTACTCGATCCATCTTGTAGGTTTGTTTTCTTTGACACATAGGTGAATACATAGCTGACTTTCACTTCCAAAACATGTGCATACCCAGCTGCCTTCAGGCAGGAAAAAGCAGGCATTGGGGTACTGTATTCTCACATAGGAAACAAAACAAGTTTTTGTAATTAAATGGCAGGTGATTATAGGAATGCTGCCACATTCTACTGTGCCCTCCTTGTTTCACTCTAGAGACCATCTTAGCCCAACTGATATTGGAGTTTGTTACCCACTCCTTAGCAGAAAGACATGAAAATGATGCAACGTTTAATAGCTACAGAACAGCATGAATATAAGTTTTCCCAAACTTGGTCATAAGGTCTTAGGTATTCTTGGCTTCTGTTTTTAAAGTGATGCTGCTTCTGTCCTAAATATGATTTCTTTCTCCTTCTTATTTTTAGGGAATTTTGTCAGTTTTATTAATCATCACCATAGCGGAGTTCAGCATCTCTTTGACTATTGCATCCTTAAGAAGCAGTTGCTGGACCAGTTCAAGAAAGGTGAGCCCAAGATTATCATGAGGATTGAGTATCTGTGTGTGCGCATGTACGTGTGTATATATGTGTGTGTTCCTGTGTGTGAGGGAGCAGGCACCCTCAGGCCACAGTGTGAGTGTGGAGATAAAAGGACAACCACAGATGTTGGTCCTCACCTTTGTTTTGAGAAAAGGCCTCTCCTGCTGTTCACTACTGCATACTCCAGGCCAACTTGTCTACAAGCTTCCAACGCTCCTGATTTTCTTGTCCTCCCACTCCCTCTCTCTAAGGGTAAAAACAGCACAGAGGTTGGTACTGCTGCATCCACACTGAGATCATCACCCCACATTGACATCTATTTTCTGTGCAGAAGCAATATGCTCAGATGCCACACTGAAACTCCTAAATTAGGAAGATTAGAGGGTCCAAGCTTAAGAGTGATGCTCACTCTAAGATAACTTGTTTCCATTCTTGTACTATATACTGTCCTCAGCCATCTCTGTTCATATAGGATTCTTTATCATCCTGAAAATAATAGAAAATATGGGACTTTGTGGAAAATCCATAGAACTGTGACATTGGGAGCATATACCCTTACTGATTGTTTATAATGTCAAACAATATTATACTCACTCAGTGTCAACATAATAGCCATTTTAATATATACCAACACCCTTATTCTACATCAAAATGAATTAAGATTTAGGGATTAACTAACATCTCCAGTATGACAGAACATAGGATTGGTTCTGACTAGTGTAGTGCTGCTCCTGGCCATGTTTTCTGAGTTACAAGAGCAGTCTGAACTGTGCTTGACAGTGTTTTGATGTGGGATACCCCTCTGTATGCTGTGAATATGTTTTATTACCATTGGTTAATAAAGAAGCTTCTTTGGCCTATGGCAGGGCAGAATAAAGCCAGAGAGAAAATCCAAACAGAGATATATAGAGAGAGTAGGCAGAGTTAAGAAGATGCCATGTAATTGCCAAAGGAGACAAATGCCACCAAACCCTTACCAGTAGGCCATAGCCTTGTGGTGATACACCGACTAATAGAAATGGGTTAATTTAAGATGTAAGAGTTAATTAATAAGAAGCCTGAGCCAGTAGGCCAAACAGTGATGGAATTAATATAGTTTCTATGTACTTATTCAGATCTGGGTGGCCAGGAATGAATGAGACATCTCCAGTTACAGTGTTTGCTTGCTTCCTTGCTTGCTTTTAACTTTAAACAATCAAACACACCCATTCTAAGTATGCTGTATGACAAGTTTTGACAAATTACACATCACAATCAAGATATAGTTCAACCCCACCATCCCAAAGGTTAATGTGGATTTTCTTGATGGATAGTCATACACCTCTTAGCAGAGGTAGATATTTGAACAAGAGACTTTTATAGACCCATGCCCATTTCTTAATTAGGTTGCTCATTTGTTGTTATTGAACTGTAGTGTTTTATATATACAGTTTGGTAATTTCTTATCAGACATATGGTCTATAAATATTTCATCCCACCCTGTCCCTTCAGATTGTTAACCTTTTTTACATTCTGGACAGTATCTTAAATGCATAAAAGTTATATTTTTATCAAATATGATTTCTGTATTCTTTTCTTTCTCTTGTTATTACATGCTTGAATATATTGTGATATTTAGTATGTGGCATATGCATGTGTATTCATGCACATTGTATGTGCCAAAGGTCAGCACTGTGTATTTTTCTTCAATTGGACCAGACTATGTTTGTTTTTGAGACTGAATCTCTCACTGAACCTGGGGTTCATGGAACTGCCTAGGCCATTTCCATGCTCCCAAAGTTAGGGTAACAAGAACACGCTGGCATTCTTTACATGACTTCTGACCATCTGAATTCAGAATTGCCTTGTACATCAGGCACTTTACCAAATGAACCATCTCCCCATTCCTCTTTTGTTGTCTTACTCATGAAATTGCCACCAAATCCAACTGTGACAGCTAATCTTGGTTGTCATTTTGATTGGATTAGAAAGAGCCTAGATGACTTTAGACCTCTGGGTTTGTCTGTGAGAATGTTTTCAGAAAGAAAAGGGTAGATAAAATATATCCTGAATGTGGGTAGCACCATTCCAGCACAAAGGAATTAAAGAGGATAGGGCCCACCAAAGTGCACACTTTTTGGCTTCAATGTTTTATCCTCTGTGAACTGATGTTTGTCTACAGTATTGGGTAAAGGTTCAATCCATTTTTTGCATGTGGCTAAACAGTTTTCCAAGTGCTGATTGTTAAAAAAGACTGTCCTTTCACACAGAGTGATCCTGGCATCACTGTTGAAACTCAATGAACTATTTATATCATGCTTGTTTCTGGGTCCTCTATTTTATCTACCTGTCTATCTTACCATAACTTTATTGAAGTTTCAAAATAGGCAACTATTATATCACTAAATACTCTTCTTCTGATTAAATAGTTTTGCTATGCTGGCCTCATTAAGAGTCCATATAAGTTTGAAATATGTTTTATGTATAGTTGAGAATGAGGTTATTTGTATTTTGATATGGATAGCATTGAATCTGTATATTTTTGCATAGCATTGACTTTTTAAAACAAGTTTGTCTTGTTATAAATAAATATGGAGAAGATCTCCATTTGTCTAGTTCTTCTTACAAATATATTCAGCAATATTTTGGAGGTTTCAACATAGGAGTCTTTCATCTTCTTGGATAGACATTTTTCTTGAATGTATCATTCTTTTAAATGATACTGTAAATTAACTTCTTCCTTGGAACCTAGTACCTATTTCAATAGTAGGCATTGTACTGGTGATTTTCATCATCATCTATTCATATGTTATTCTGGTTATAATTGTCAGCACTTAAAGGGTGAATTCTGATTGTCTATAATCACCAACATTCAGTTCATCTAAATAATTAACAAATCAAATAGTATACATTTGTGTATGAACATTAACTGGATATTTCAAATATATGAATATTAACTGGATACTTTAAATGTCTTAGAAAAATTAGCATTATTCAGTATGAAAAAAGGCAATTTTGGTCAAATCTCTTTGTTCAGTATCTAGGATATAAGAATAGTGACTCATCCAAATCAATGCCGATGAACAGACAGCAAAGGCTGGAGAGCTTCATCTCCCTTCTACTTACATGTGAACATGAGAGAGGAAATATAGTATGAGAATACAGTAAGAAAATGACAAAAAGACAGCTGTGGCCTACTAACACTCTGCTTTCCCCTTGGTATTATAGGCTGTATTCTTCTTCCCTTCAGAAGTTCCTCAAAATACTGAACAGCCTGTGCCCGAAGAAAATAATCCATTACAATTTGAGTTTCAAGGAAAATCTCCCAGTGATAATACAGCTTCAAACATAACAACCATGTTTTTAGGGGGTTATGCTTTCTTCAAGTTAAGAGGCTTAAGAAATCCTTCAGCTCCCAAAAATATCTCACGGAAAAGTGATAAGGGTACATCTTCTATGCATGTTCCAGATGAACAGGAGACTATTCCTCCACCCTCCTTAGAGGAAGAAACTAAACTGGATGCTTTACCTCCCCCATTAACACCAAAGTCTTCAGAAAATATTCCTTCCCAGAAAGAGTCTAGCAATAACCTGAATGATGAGGATCTAGAATCTATTACACATCAAACCTCTGATCTGCAACCCAAATTGATTGACAACCAAAATATGTCACCCAAATTTCTAAAAACTCCATCTTCACATAATTTATCCCCTTTGTTACCTGACAGTTTATCAACCCAAACATTAATGGAAGCTCTGTCAACACAAGTCTTACAATCTAAACTCACATCATCCCGTATTTCAATGTCTTATGATCTGACATCTGAGGACTTGCCTTCTGAAGACATACCATTTCAAGAAACCCCATCCCAAGACATGCAATTCCAAGATCCACTGACTCAAGACATATCATCCCAAGAGACTCAATCACAAGATATTCCATACCAAGATACACTAACTCAAGACATACCTTCCCAAGAGACTCCTTCCCAAGAGACTCCATCCCTAGAGACTCCATACCAAGAACTGTCATCCCAAGATACTCTATCTCAAAATACTCTATCCCAAGAAACTCCATACCAATATACTCCATCCCAAATGATTCCACACCATTATACTCCATCCCCAAAGACTCCATCTCCAAAGATTCCATCGCCAAAGACTCCATCCCAAGAAACTCCATCCCAAGATACACTAACTCTAGACATACCATCCCAAAAGACTCAATCTGAAGAAACTCCATCACAAGAGATTCCCTCTCAAGAAACTCCATCACATGATATGAAATACCAAGATGTACTACCTCCAGAAAAAACATCGCAAAGCACACAAACCCAAGATACAGTGGCCCACGACACGACATTCTCAGATCTTCAAGCACTAAACACTCAAGTTCAAATTCAGCAAGATCCAGAAATATTTTATAGAGACATTCGAACAGAAGTCATGGAACTGACTCAAGAATGGATGTCTAATATGAGCAAGAAACCCCCAAGAAGACTTTCCTTATCCTTGTCAGGCAAACATGGAAAATTCTCTTCCAAGAGACATTCCCTGGACCTACAAATCAAAGGTGACGAAGCCCCAAGGAGACATTCTGTAGACTTACAAAGGAAAACTTCAAGACGGAAATCCATAGATCAGCAAATCAAAGCCTGGCTATCCACAAAGAAGCACACCACAGAGAAACAAGATGCATATACTCAAACCCCAGAGCTATTCCTCCACCAGCAAGCTGATCAGCAGCAGGCCAAAGAGGAGGAGGTTCCAGTACAACAACCCCAAGATGAGCAAAGCAAAGACGAAAAATCTGTAGAAGAGCTAGGCCCAGAAGAACAGCTTACTGGCAAGAAAGAAGATCAGCAGTCTGATAAAATGCAGTGTCCAGAAGAACAAGTTCAACCAGCTGAAGACCAGCAGCCTCTAGAGCAGAAAGTTCCGAAGAGCCAGTCCCCAGATTTGCAAGAAAGACAGCAAGTGCTAGTAAGGAGAGCCCCAGTGCCATCATGTCTGGACTGGGACTCTCAAAGCTTTCAGTTCACAGAAAGGTCATGTTCATACTGGTCAACTCCATCCTGGCAGCCTGTTAGCCTGGGATCCCAGGACTGGAGAAGTCAAGGCTGGAGAAACAAAGATTGGAAAGCACAAGAATGGCAGTTTGAAATACAGCCTTCCCTGGACTGGGAATCTCAAGAGTTATTAGAAAGAGAATCCTTAAGGCAAAGGGCACTATACCAAGAAATCCAACCCCGCAGCACCATAGTCCAACACACCCAAGATCGTCAATTGCGTAACTTTATATTTCAAGTGGGTCTGTGTCAAGGTAATGACCAACAATCTGGTGTTTTAAGAGGAGATATGTATGCTGCAGATGATGTACAAACAAGAGACAGGGAACCCCAAGACATAGAAGATACATGCCAGAAACCAAAAGACCAGCAGTCAGAAGACATACGGCCAGCTAATAATCCTGTTTCTTGTCAGAGCTTGGTTCCATACACATATGTAACTTGTTTATCCAATATAGCTTCAGAGCAAGAGGTGCAGAACAATACGCCCTGTTCAGACTCATCCAAAGATCTGAATGCCACTTCTTCCTCATGGTATCAAAAAGATCAACAGCAATCTGAGGACTCAGACTGACATACACATCTAATCAAAAACCACAGACCCCAGATAATGGAGCCAGATGAGGATGAAGCAGCTGATTCTCTAACCTGTGCTTGCTGTCTAATTCACTCACCAGAGATAAAGGGCATGCAGGACCTTCAAAGAACTCATTCCTTTTTAAAACAAAATGAAAACAAGCCAAATGTCAAGACTATATCAAAACCTTCTGGGAGTGAAGAAATAAATCTCATCTAAGCTATAAAATTTTGTCATTGATTATAGTATTCCAATGTATGATTGTTAATTCATCTCACAGCTTACTACTTAATGGATCTATTTTCTCATAATGCTAATATTTTTTTCTCCCCACATTTGTGTTGAAGATACGTGTACTATGTTTGCCCAAAACTTTCTGAATTAGGAAGCAAAGCTAGAGACAGAAGAGTAGAAGTCATGGAAGGGTAGTCATGTGCATATTATAATAGAAAATATGGCAAACTAGACTGTATTGAAAGAAGCTCCAGAGCTCTCTCTCTCACACATGCCTGCACTCACAGCTTTGTCAGTATTGGGAGTCAATTTCACCCTCTGTGGTCAAAATGAATTGTGTAAAAAAAAAAAAAAACCTGTCAGTTCCCCTCTGTCTTTCAAGCTAAGCACAGTTTTCTATCCTCTTCATCTTTGATGCCTTTGCTAAAATCTTGCTTTTCTGTCAACTCTGAAGCTCTGCATTTTGCTCAGCTTCACGGTGTTTTCTTTGCATGTGTGTGCACCTGAACTTTCTAATCTGTAAATACAAAAACCTCAAGAACATGAATGGAAATAGGCATTGGAGTTAAGGGCTAATTTTAGAAGCACATAATGTTGGACCTCACATACTTTTTATGTATTCTAACAAACTTCCTGAGCCACAATTTTTTTTACCACAAAGTTGGGGCCTGTGGTCAGTAAAGTCCAGTTATAGCACAGAAACAATGAGGGTGGGTAGAGGCATGTCCTGATTGGAAGCAGGAATGTCTGACACAGTGGTTCCCTCAGGAGAGGCCATCAGAGTCTTTTAAAGCAAGGGATTGTTCACACAGATAACCGGGCCCCGCTGGAGACAGAGAGACCTCCTCCCCTGAAAATAGTAGACCCATCATTGTTTTCAGATTTTCTTTTTTTTCTTTTTTTTATTCATTTATTTATATAAAAAAATTTCACTTCCTCCCCTCCTCCCAATACCCTCCCACTCCCCCCACTCCCTCCCCTCCTCCCTCTCCAGACCCAAGAGCAGTCAGGGCCTCCTGCCCCGCTGGAAGTCCAAGTTCCTCCCCCACTCCCTCCAGGTCCAGGAAGGTGAGCATCCAAACAGACCAGGATCCCAGAGAGCCAGCACATGCAGACGAAACAAGACCCAGCGCCATTGTCAATGGCCTCCCAGTCAGCCACCATGTCAGCCACATTCAGAGAATTCAGTCCAATCACACGCTCCTTCAGTCCCAGTCCAGCTGGCCCTGGTGAGCTCCCACCAGACCAGTCCCCTTGTATCAGTGGGTGAACGCACCCCTCGCGGTCTTGACTTCCTTTTTCATGTTCTCCCTCCTTCCGCTCCTCATTTGGACTTTGGGGGCTCAGTCCAGTGCTCCAATGTGGGTCTCTGTCTCCATCTCCATCCATCGTAGGATGAAGGCTCCCTCCGAACCTGCCTTCCTTGCTCACGCTCTCCCTCCATCTGCTTCTCATTTGGACCTAGGGAGTTAAGTCCAGTGTTCCAATGTGTGTCTCTGTCTCTATCTCCATCCATCGCCAGATGAAGGTTCTATGGTGATATGCAAAATATTCATCAGTATGGTTATGGGCTAAGGCCAGTTCAGGCACCCTCTCCTCCGCTGCCCAGGGAACAATCTAGGAACCTTTCCTTGGGCCTGGGAACCCCTCCAGAATCAAGTCTCTTGCAAACCCCAAAATGACTCACTAGTTGAGATACACACCTCCCCGCTCCCACATCCATCCTTCCTCCCTCTCCCCAATCCCATTCCCCCAAGCCATCCCCAATCCTCCCCCTCTCCCTTCTCTCCAACCATCTTCCCTTACGTCCACCCCCCCACACACCCCGTGCACCCAAGTTTGCCTGGCAATCTTGTCTATTTCCAATATCAAGGAGGATAACTATATGATTTTCTTCAGGTTCACCTTCTTATTTAGCTTCTCTAGGATCACGAATTATAGACTCAGAGACCTTTAATTAAGGCTAGAATCCACTTATAAGTGAGTACATGCCATATTTCTCTTTTTGGGTCTGGGTTACCTCACTCAGTAAAGCGTTTTCTATTCTCATCCATTTGCATGCAAAATTCAAGATGTCATTGTATTTTACCGCTGAGTAAAACTCTAATGTGTATATGTTCCACACCTGCTTTAACCATTCTTCTATTGAGGGGCACCTAGGTTGTTTCCAGGTTCTGGCTATTACAAATAGTGCAGCTATGAACATAGTTGAAAAAATGCTTTTGTAGTATGATAGGGAATCTCTTGGGTATATTCCCAAGAGTGGAATTGCTGGGTCCTGAGGGAGGTTGACTACCAGTTTCCTGAGAAACCGCCACACTGATTTCCACAGTGGCTGCACAAGTTTGCATTCCCACCAACAATGGATGAGTGTTCCCTCACTCCACATCCTCTCCAGCATAGGCTATCATTGGTGTTTTTGAGTTTAGCTATTGTGACAGGTGTAAGATGGTATCTCAAAGTAGTTTTGATTTGCATTTCCCTGATCACTAAGGAGGTTGAGCATGACCTTAAGTGTCTTTTGGCCATTCGAAGTTCATCTGTTGTGAAGTCTCTGTTCAGATCAGTACCCCATTTTTTAATTGGGCTAATTAGAGTTTTAGTGTCTAGTTTCTTGAGTTGTTTATATATTTTGGAGATTAGACCTTTGTCTGATGAGGGGTTGGTGAAGATCTTCTCCCAGTCAGAAGGCAGCCTTTTTGTCTTACTGACAGTGTCCTTTGCTTTACAGAAGCTTCTCAGTTTCAGGAGGTCCCATTTATTCATTGATTCTTTTATTGTCTGTGCCACTGGGGTTCTACTTAGGAAGTGGTCTCCTGTGCCTATGTCTTGTAGACTACTTCCCATTTTCTCTTCTATCAGGTTCAAAATGGTCAGATTAATATTGATGTCTTTAATCCATTTGGACTTGAGTTTTGTGCATGGTGATAGATATGGATCTACTTTCATTCTTCTACAGATTGACATCCAGTTTTGCCAGCACCATTTGTTAAAGATGCTTTCCTTCTTCCATTTTATACCTTTAGTTCCCTTGTCGAAAATCAAGTGTTCATAGGTTTGCAGGTTAATATCCGGGTCTTCTATTCGATTCCATAGGTCGACTCCTCTGTTCTTATGCCAATACCAAGCTGTTTTCAATATTGTAGCTCTGTAATAGAGTTTGAAGTCAGGGATGGTAATGCCTCCAGAGGTTCCTTTATTGTATAAGATTGTTTTGACTATCCTGGGTTTTTTGCTTTGCCATGTAAACTTGATTATTGTTCTCTAAAGGTCTGTGAAGAAGTTTGATGGGATTTTGATGGGGATTGCATTGAATCTATAGATTGCTTTTGGTAGAATTGCCATTTTTACTATGTTGATCCTCCCAATCCAAGAGCAAGGGAGATCTTTCCATTTTCTGGTATCCTCCTCAATTTCTTTCTTCAAAGAATTAAAATTCTTGTCAAATAGGTCTTTCACTTCCTTGGTTAGAGTTACCCCAAGGTATTTTATGCTATTTGTGGCTATCATGAAAGGTGAAGTTTCTCTGATTTCCCTCTCTGCTTCTTTATCCTTTGTGTATAGGAGGGCCACTGATTTTTTTGAGTTGATCTTGTATCCTGCCACATTACCAACGGTGTTTATCAGCTGTAGGAGTTCTTTGGTAGAGTTTTTGGGGTTGCTTATGTACACTATCATATCATCTGCAAATAATGAAAGTTTAACTTCATCCTTTCCAATTTGAATCCCCTTGAACCCCTTATGTTGTCTTATTGCTATTGCTAGAACTTCAAGCACTATATTGAAGAGGTATGGAGAGAGTGGACAGCCTTGTCGTGTTCCTGATTTTAGTGGAATGGCTTTGAGTTTCTCTCCGTTCAATTTGATGTTAGCTGTCGGCTTGTTGTATATAGCTTTTATTATATTTAGGTATGATCCTTGTATCCCCAATCGCTCCAACACCTTTATCATAAAGGGGTGTTGAATTTTGTCAAATGCTTTTTCAGCATCCAATGAAATGATCATATGGTTTTTTTATGTCAGTTTATTTATATGATGGATTACATTGATAGATTTGCGTATGTTGAACTAGCCCTGCATCTCTGGGATGAAGCATACTTGATCATAATGGATCATTTTTCTAATGTGTTCTTGGATTCAGTTTGCCAGTATTTTATTGAGAATTTTCGCGTCAATGTTCATGAGTGATATTGGCCTGTAATTCTCTTTCTTGGTTGTGTCTTTGTGTGGTTTTGGTATCAGAGTAACTGTAGCTTCGTAAAAGGAGTTCGGCAATGACTCTTCTGTTTCTATATTGTGGAATACATTAAGGAGTATAGGTATTTGCTCTTCCTGGAAGTTCTGGTAGAATTCTGCATTGAAACCATCTGGTCCTGGGCTTTTTTTGGTAGGGAGATTTTTTGATAACAGCTTCTAATTCTTCGCGACTAACAGGTCTATTTAGATTGTTCACCTGATCTTGGTTCAACTTTGGTATAGGGTACTTATCTAAAAAAATGTCCATTTTTTTTACATTTTCCAATTTTGTGGCATATAGGCTTTTGTAGTAAGATCTAATGATTCTCTGAATTTTCTGTGTGTCTGTGGTTATGTCCCCTTTTTCATTTCTGATCTTATAAATTTGCATGTTCTCTCTCTGCCATTTGATTAGTTTGGATAGGGGTTTGTCGATCTTGTTGATTTTCTCCAAGAACCAGCTTTTTGTTTCATTGATTCTTTGGATTGTTTTCTGTGTTTCTATTTTGTTGATTTCAGCCTTCACTCTGATTATTTCCAGTCTTCTATTCCTCCTGGGTGAATCAGCTTCTTTTTTTTCTAGAGCTTTCAGGTGTGCTGTTAAGTCCTCAATGTGTGCTTTCTCCGTTTTCTTTAATTGGGCACTTAGTGCTATGAACTTTCCTCTTAGCACTGCTTTCATAGTGTCCCATAGGTTTGAGTATGTTGTGCCTTTATTTTCATTAAATTCAAGGAAGACTTTAATTTCTTTCTTTATT